CCCCCCTGCGGAACCCCTCCAAGAGTATACACTTGTTAAAAATGTCTTAGTGCATATCATAAGTTACTTAATTTCACTTATGTATTTTTTAAAATTTTATTACTTGTTTTAAAGTTATTATTTGTAATTATAAAATTATTTATTTTAAAATTAGAGAAATAATGTAAGTTAAATATTTAATTAGATTAATTCAATTAATAATTAATTAATTTACCATATTTAATCAATTAAGTTAAATTAATTAATTAAATTACACTAAATTAATTTGCTTCGTTTACCCAAATAGTTAACTTTAAATCTGCCAAGAACCCAAGATGAATAAAATTGCCGGGGCACCCCGCTAGTTGAGGAATTAATACCACAGGGAGGAATCAATACCGCTTAGATGGAAATGGTTACTCTCTTTAACAGCTTTACAGAAGGGTAACTAAGTAGCCCCATTATAAACTTCGCAGTTCGCACTATGTAGAATGAGATACACAATCATTATCCATAACAATCCAACCCATTGACTGCAAATTTGAGAGAAACTTAGATTTGAGATCCTCTTACCGGGTTGGATTCAGCATGGGTATTTACCAAAACAAAAAAAATGTTTTCAGATGTACCCATGTATAAGGTGCCTTATGGAGATCTCATACCAAATCAATCGCAACCAGGATATTTCATGAAACTACTGTAAACTTGAACCAGATTCAACGGAATACTACTGTAGCTAAAACAAATAATAAATAAATAAACAAATGGAATAGGATTATTAAACCTGATCCAACCTTTCCCTTGAAGAGTACCTCAATTATTAGTGAAAATTATATTTACACTTCCTCCTCAATCTCACCATAGCAATGGATCAGGTCAGTTCATAACATAACATTCTGTCTCTTAAACTCAGGAGAAAGCCCTATAAATTCAAGAGATTCGGGAAGAAGCCCAAATCTCCCCAATACCGAAGGAAGTAGAAATTGATTGCTGCTTATTACTGGAACAGTTTAACTAATTTTGAAGAAAAAGGGAGAGATAAAGCTTTCTTAGCTCTCCCTTAATAAAACAAAATACAACATAGCCCAAACCAATTGGTTCCTTCCCACCCCCTGTTTAGCCAATGCATCGGCAAAAGAATTAGCATCTCTTTTCACCCATTGCAGATTAACCTCCATACCTTGTGACAGCCACTTGATTCTCCTTTTTTCATTAATGTAGCCCCACCAACCAGCAATATAGATATGAATTTCAGGATTCCAACAATAGAAAAAGTTATCAAGAATAATCAGAATCAAGAGGATACCTGAAAATAAATGAAAAAAGTGAACCACTTCCCTCAAACAACAAATAACTAAAATAGAGAGTTAAAATGTAAAAGAAGTAATAACAATGGAAGGGAGAGACCCATGCCCTAGAGGGGGACTTGATCAGATGAAGCCCCACCTGGTTATACGAAGCTGCACCAAAGCCCTATCAGCAAACAAATGAACCAAAAAGTAAGGCAAAATCAGAAATTTTTTAGGGAATAGAATGAAGAAAACATGAGAGAGAGAGGGAATATTTGACAGATTGCATCTGGGAAAAACCCTAGAAAGGTTGCAGAGATTTGACAATCATGTTAAACCAAACCTAGAAAAGTTGCAGAGATATGACAACCACGTTAAACTTACAACCCGATAACCTGCAAGTTGTTACAAAGAGTTGACAAATTGGATCCACAAAATCCCAGGAAAGTATACATCTATCCAAAAATTGGGTCTGGGAAAAATCCTAGAAAAGATGCAAGTGTAAATGGATTTCTGATCTTCTTGAGTGAATGTTCCACAAATGGAAGAGAAATTGACGCTGAGAAGAGCTAAACTTCAGTACCTTTAATGGTGAATTTAAAAAGGTGTACATGCAGACAGCCATTATGAGATTTATGAATTTAAAAACAACTTTGCCAAGAGAAAGCAGAGCCAAGGTAAAGACCTAGCTAAATCATAATAGAGCCAAGATGAAAGAAGCTGAGAGAAGGCAGTTAGTAATGCCAACAAATGAGAACAATTAGCAATTAAAATACTTGATTTACAAAAGACAAAAAAAATTAAGACAATTGGAACTGCACATGTGCAAGTACTGAGAGTAGAGAGGCCTACGTGTGACCGTGAGAGCTGTGCTTTGAGGCCTTTGGCCTCCACACAGACCTCTTTCTTATATACATATAGATTAGGGGTGCAAGTCATATACCCAATTGGCAGAATTTACACTATATTGAGTCCAAGCGTCCAGGACTGGCCCATTCAAATTAAAAAAAAAAAAAAATGTTGCAACCCGAACCTGTCCAACTTGCACACCTACATTAAATCACAACTCTGACAAGATAAAAAAATGGAATTTATGAGAAGTTTCTTCCAAATTGGAATCATGTAAAATTCAGTACAACTTATTACTCTTCAAACCCCCCCCCCACCCCACACACACACACAGAAACCCCAACAAATTTATTATCACCTTGCCAACCACCAAACCAACAATTCATAAAGAGAAAGAATATAGACAGATGGAAGTTGTCATACATAGAGTTCTCACCAATCTATACAATACAAACAAATTTTTCTTATCCATCTGAACACTTGGATGACTCTCTTTAGCCAAAACCTTGCAACACAGAAGTAGAAACCAGAAACAACACACAATGATGAAAATCTACATGGCATTTGATGCATGCCCCTTCTTCCTTGACAAAAACATGACGACCCGTGGTAATATTGCTTTCTTCTTCTTCTTCTCAAACTTCGCTTCTGGAGAAGTATCATGCTCAAAGATATTTTTTGGGGCAACCTCCCTTGGACTTGAGTCATTTTGCACAGGAATGGTGTCATCTAGTTTGTTGTCAAAGCTCTTTGGTTCTTCACCATCCTCAGAGCTCCTCATTGGGCCTCTAGTGGGATTTATGACCCCTTCACCAGTATCACTAGCCTTTCGCCGCTCTTCATGCTCAGCCCTCCATTTCCTCAACTCTTGCTCTATACCTAGCTTCCCTTCCCTTGCCTTTTTGTTCCTTTCTTTTGCAATGTTCAAAGCATCCTTTCTTGCAGCCAACTCTCTACTCACTTCTTCCAACTTTTCCAAGCTTCTCAACTCAGACTGCTTAGCTACTTCTATTTGAGAGATGGCAGCTGCCAACCTCACATTGGCATGCTCCTCAGCCTCCTGGGCATGTTTACTAAGCTCATGGAATTCCTCCAGAGAAAGTGTGACTCCAGCAGTGCTATTGTCACCAATAGTACTTTGAGCCGATTCACTCTCCAGCAATGCTTTGACTGCTGCCAATGCCAATTTCTCTGATTCCCTGGCAGCCTCTATCTCTTTTTTAGTTGCATGTATTCTACTCTCCATGGTACTTGCACAAGCCTTGACTTGCTCTGCTTCTTCCTTTGCTCTTCTCAGTTCTTCATGGGCTAATTGAGCAAGTACTTTGGCCTGATCTGCCTCTTGAGCAGCTTGCTGTAGCTGCTTGGGCAGTTCCACCATTTTCTCCTTGGCTTCCTTCTCCTTCATCTGCACTATAGATACTTCTGACTGAGTTCTATTCAACTCCGCTTCAATAGATGCAACTGCCACATATGCCATTCCTTCTCTCTGTCTAATTGAGGCAAGTGCTGATTTTTCTGCTTCAAGCTCTGACTTAAGTGACACCGCTGCAACCCTCAGACAATTTACTTCTGCTGTTGCTTTCTCGATGCTGAGATTGATCACTTCAAGCTCCTTAGCTGAAGCAATTGTTAATTGTGGATCTATATGAGCTTTCGTATTTGGCTCTTTTGTCTCACTTTTTAGCTTTCCTTCTTCTTCACTGGCTTCTTGGTTCAACTTTGCTTCCATGTAAGCTGCTAATTTAGCTTTTAGATTGAGTAGCAAGGCTGATGCAGTATCTAGTTTTAATTTGAGATCCTTCGCAGAGAGAAGTTGCTCATTTAGACTTTGTAGTTCCTCTTCTGCCTGCTTGACTTCTTTTTCCCAAGTGATAGAATCCTGCTCTCTGGCCAAAGTTGCTTCAATTCTGTTCTCCTCTGCTTCTAAATGTGCAGCCTGTGCATATTCTAGGGATTCTTTTGTTGCAATCAGTTCTAGAGTCAGATTTTCCACTGTCTTGTCAATTTCCTTGGATGCAGAAACAGCCTCCTCAGCTTTCTTTACAGCAATGTCCTTTTCAGTAACCAAAGATGCATACTCCCCATGTAGTGCTTCCAACTCATCTTTCACAAATTTCAGCTCTGTTACTGCAGCTATGTACCTGGATTTTGCTACATCAAGCTGTTGCTTTTCTGCAGAACTTGTCTCATTTACAATCCCTTGTTCCATTTCTTCCAACCTGAGCTTCACAAGTTCATGATCCTGTTTTGCCTGCTTCTCTTCAATTTGTGCTCTCTCTAGGTTCAACTTCAATTCTTCTATTAGTCTCTTGGTACTGTCCAGTTCCTTTAGTATTTGAGTCTTTGCACCTTCAGCAGCATCTGACTGTTTCCTATATTCAGGAATCTCTTCTTTTGCTTTCTCCAGATCTTGTTCTACATTCTTTTTCTCCTGTTACACCAAAGAAAAGAAACTTAATGGTCAGGAAGCCCAAAGGAAATCAAATGGGTCGAAAATTAAATTCTGATCCCTTTGTCAATTTTTATGCAATGTTTTGTAGACAAATGGAAGGAAAATTAAATTCCACGTTTTAGTTAAAAGAAATAGGAATGTTTGGAGTAGTAGCTCAGATACATGGCATGAGAGTTTGTCTTACAATTAGTCAAATACAGCTTGATACAATCTGGCTGGGAGAGGAGATAAAATTGGTATGTTTGTTTTTTATGTGAAGCAGAAATATCTAAGAATCTGTTTCATCCATCTCTCTAATAAAATTGAAAAACAGAAGGACAAGTAACAATAGGAGCGGTGTCATAACCGAGATAGTTTGCCTTTCTGTTACAAGTCAATCCAAATTATTTAATTAATGAAGAAGAAAATGTTCGAAAAGTGCCAAGAATCCAGGAAAAATTCGGAAAATTTTCAGCACTGAAGCAGGATTATTATCAATACCAATAATAAGGATCATGAGACAACAACAATAAAATGATAAACAAAAATGAAGATAAAGAAATATCGTACCTCAACAATCTGGCTTCTACAGGATTTCCAATTGACAAGTCTTCCAAACTTGGAAACAGCTTCTTTAACTGATTCAAAAGGTGCTGCAGTATCAACAAGACTTCTGTGTACATCCTCTTTTACATGTTGAGAAATGCCACTGAGTTGTAGGTTCTTATTGGAAATGCTTGAAACCTCCATTTGGGGCAGAAGAAACTCCTCTAGTGGAACAACATTATGGCTAATTTCAGAGGTTCTTACTTCACCAGATCCGTTAGATGGTAATGCTATATCACTAACTTCAACAGCAACAATATTACCAGTGGCAATGCCATCAGATTGCTTTGTAGTATCAGTTGGTTGTGCTTCCAATACATTAGATGAATGAGGTGATGGAATAACTTCCAATGACTCTTGTTCCATTTCCTTAACTCCAGGCTGTAACTTTTCCAGGTTCTCCATTTTAAGTGCATCATGGTTGAGTACCAGGACATTAGAAGCATCTTGTATGATTGAAACTCCAGAGCCTTCTACAACAATGCTCTGTTGGTCAGTCACTACGTTTTCATTAGGGAGTGCATGAATTGGAACTTCAGAATCGGCAAGAGCATTTTCTTGAGTTGATGAAGAAGTAGATGAAGAAGATTCAGGATAAAAATTTCCTTCCGAATTTTTCTTTTCCTCCATACCACGTAAGTGCTAAGAGTTTCAAGTAGGTATCTGGAATCTAAAGACAATATGGCACCATTTTAGTATATACCAAACTTAAAACTTCATGCCAACTCAATGTCAGTGCTTACAGTTTCTTTTTGCAACTCATTTTCTTTCTCTTCAAAAAGAAAGGCAATTCAACACTTCCACTTCATTTCTTTAAGAATATTATGATCACAAAACACATGCCTAAACAAGGTGGGGCAACAAGTGTCTACTCTGACATCAAACTAAAAAATGGCCATAACACAATGCTGGTCTTGAATCAGGAGTGGGGAGGGGTAGTGAGCAAAGTGAAAATGGTCATGAAACAAATGAGGTGCAAACTGTCCGAAACACATTGGTGAGCAGACAACACAATCCCCCAGATTTATGACAGTGGTTCAAATTCTATTACTATGTGCAATGAATGGAATTCTATCTCATCCGGTTTTGCCGAAGATTATTTGTTTCTTTAGGAATTACACACAACATGATCAAATTCTTTTGGGATGGTTGTTCCTGTCCCTCTTTTGAACATTGTTGCTCTTAATTTTTTTCTTTCATAATTTCATCTTAACATTGCTTTCTTCATTCACTCTTGTTGACATAACTAATAAGATTGTGGTTGGATTATGGAAGATCTAAGGAGCATATTTGAAATCCATGGTTTTTTTTTTTTTTTGGAAATCCACCAAAGTAGTGGAAAACTCTGCTCAAAATCCAGAAGTTTTCAAATTCTGCATAGCACCACCATCTTTGGAGCCAAACTGTTAAATCTGGATATTTTGGAATTTGGGGAGTAAAATCTATCTGCATTTACAATTTTTCAGAAATCCTAACACATAGGATGAGATATGAGTTTTCTGCAAAATGACTAAATGTCAATCAAAGAAAACATTACAAAAAAGTAAGCATATTCAGTGCATTCTTTGCCTTCTAAATTGTCTCAGGATAAGACAATATATCATCATCATCATCATCTAAGCCTTGKTGGCAAGGTTTAAAATGTCAATGTCGATGGAAATGTCGCTTACCAAAATATAGGACATATGTCGGAAATGTCGAGGGGAAATATTGTAAAAATTAGAGACATTGTGGAAATATTATGAAATATGTAGAAATATGCAATGATATTTTGTAAAATGATAAAAGAAGCATTAATACA